AATTCATGTCGATAAAACAACTTATCAGTCGCTGAAATATTCAGGCATGGTAGCTTTTCAGTATTAGATCTGTATTCTCTCGGGACCAACACTTTTCTAGCTCTCGCTTAACTGTTTAAGCATTGGAATATCAAGACTTTCGTCACTTGGTCGATCATTGATTCAAACACGTCTTTTAACACGTAGACATGATAGCAGCAAACCAAAATAATAATAATTGTTCGAGAAGCACGCAGGTTTCGTTAATTTGAAGCAGTAGTATCACAGTACCTATATAATCTGAACTTTATCTTCCAGTCAATCATAGCCTCCCAAACTGCCCGAGCGCTTCCTGACGAGTTATCCAATTTGGGCACAGCGATAAGCTGATTTTTATTTTCATACGTTATAACAATCGGTACACGTTCTTCTTTGCGTGCAGAACTTTGCCATCCCGGTGGACAGTTACAGTATCCGGTACCTCGCTTTGAAAATCATACATCTAATGCTGCCACTAATTTTGGCGTTATGAAACTTTTCCTCATTTGAGTTTGATTAGTATCAGGCTGTGTCCTCTGGGTTGGGATGGACAAAGTTTCTTGTAAATCTATCTCGGAACCTGAAGATGGGTTTTCATGCACTGATTCGTAAGATGATGACGAAGCAGTTAAGGAAGCAACGTATTTAGCTCGCCGCTTTTGTTCTTCGGTGTTCCTAAGACGCGCCTTTTCTTTTTTTATGGCAAATTTCTTGTCCATCCCAGCTAAATGGCCCAGTCGAACTGACTCTCTCTGCTGCTGCAAGAAGATCCTATCTTCATTTATTTTCATCAATTGAAGGGCAGTGGCATGTGCAATATTAAACAGATTCTCCACGTTTGTTACAAACTTTTGTCGACGTTGCTCAAACACTTCTTGTGTTTTGCTCGCATTTTTTTGCAAATCTCTCCAAACCTGGTATAACGCGTTCCTTACTCTTAGCATGTTTGTTGGTTTTGACTGTTTTAATGTTTTACCACAAGTAGACGAGCTCATCAGTGGAAAAACAATACCTTATGATTTTTAAGGCCACAAAATCATCTTGAATTGCAAAAAGTTGAAAAATATAAAATATTAATGCAAGTGAGATATTTCCCAAAAATGGAAACTTCTTACTAGAATAAGCCCACGGCTTCACTCGCATGATAGTGTTACAGGCAATCAAGATGCCGCGCGGCATCAGCTACTCGTTCATTGTTCAACAGCTAAATCGTAGTGCAAAATCCGCATTGATTTAGCAAATAAAGCTGACTATAATTTTCTCGGGATAATACGTATAACTTGGCGAATTTTTACGGGATTTCGAGTCTCATGGCGATTGGACAAACTTACTTGATGGAAACAAAATTCAAAATGACCCGAGCTGGGTGGAATGAAAGCCCAAAGCTTACCCGCTTGAGCAAACTAAGCTATTTTCTCATGAAAACTGTTATTGTAGCTTGTTTATAAGAGATCGCTATATGCTTCCGAGGATTTTTTAGCTCTTTTGAAGACCCTTATTTTCGTAGTAGTAGCATTTATGTATGATCCACCACTTAGGCAGCGTACGCAGTTAAAGTAGCACCATCGTGATTTTTAAATACATTATTTATTCAAGCAGGTCGAAATATGAAAGCTTTCTCCTTAAGACAAGTCCAAAAATTCACAAACCGTTTTATTCAAGATTATTATAACAAATGAATGAGATCTTGCGAGCATAATAAAAAAATGAAAACCGTAATCAAGGAATAAATCAAAACGGTAGGCCCATATCGACCCAATTTTGGTTTATTAACATGCTTGTGTTCTAATATCTCACAGTTTGTCAAGATGATTGTGGAACATATTGTTACCCGAATAAAATGTGTATTCTTTAGAATGTGTAAATCGAACACTCAGAGCTTAGAATACCACCCTGTTCTAGCCTAGTTTTAGATAGTTACAGCTTATTGACACAGCTAGGTAGAGATTTAGTTGGTATAAGTGCCTTGTCTCGGTAAATAATGCACTTACAAATAGTAAAGTTACTTCCAGGATATTATAGAACAAAAGTGCTAATACTTGTCCAGAGGAAAGTTTTGAGGCGGTAATTTGATGCTTTACATCCTTTATTAAAAATATTCCCTTTTTAGAACAGCGTAATTCCTTCGAAATGTTGACTGGACGAAAAAAGTGAGTTTACTAATAGAACAAACGTGCAGTGCAATACGTTTGGTTCATAAAACTTTATACAATTGTTCTGAAATTGTTCAAGCAAAATTAGATTGCGTGCGTTTGAAAAAAAAGAACCTTAATTTTTTTGAGACACCCTACCCTGCATACAAGTTTGGGCAAACAACTAGGTGTTGACGTTGGCTATTAGATCTTTATCAAAACTCGTGCTCATTACTTGAAAAGGCCGGAAATAAAAATGCACGTTGGCCTGGAGCCTTACCGACGTAGTTCATTGGATCGGTTGTTAACGTGTCCGTCTAGCATGCTGGGATATTGGATAGGCCGTAGTGTTATTCTGCTTTATATTAGAGCAGTCACATGGACAGAAGCCTAAATGCTAGGACACCGTGGGTTAGTAACCCAAAGAAACTTTGTTAATCCGACTTTTGAACTGCCTAAGGTTAGTAGATTTGTAGATTTTTCCATAATCTCGACTCCACAGGTACAAACGAGAGGTCGTATCAGTCAGTTCTGGATGTACGAAGTTTGACACGGTTACGATGGTAAGCCGAGGTCTGTCTAGCAGGCACATCGTGCGGCGGCATCATTGAGGAGAGCTCTGTGGGGCAAAGCTTGTTGGTGTAGCGGTAGAAGAGATCGCCAACGGCCCGCCGGTGCGAAAGGGTCCCAAGACTGTCTGTTAGAAAAGGGTCATCAATCATTCGGACAGCCCTCCTCTGAACAGTATCGAGTATGAATAATGTAGACGGGGCCCCAAATGTGTAAGAAATACTCGAGGCTGGGTCTTACCTGGGCCTTGTATAGAGTAAGGAGGTCGTGTGAAGAAAAGTACTTCTTAGCCCTAAACAAATAGCCTAGCTTTTTCGCAGCAGCTGCTGCTATTGACGAGGCGTATTCGTGCCAGATCAAATCCTCGGTGATATGGACTCCGAAATGAATGGCACTTTGGCATAACTCGGCCATTTATCGAAACCGGATGAGGGCTAGGACGCTTTTTGTTTAAACTGTACAAGATTGTCGCGTCTCCAAGCAGTGATAACTTCTTTTTTCCAGCTCACAGGCAGAGATCGGTTTGCGTCTTGAATTCCAGCATGTAGAGTGCTGTCACGAGCAAGGCTGCCACTTGTGTTGATCGTACAGGAAAGGAGGTAGTTGATATGTAAGAGGAACAGTGTCGGAGCCAAGACCGATCCCTGGGGAACATCCGCGTTTACGTTGTGGGATTTTGAGGCCAGAGAGAAAGTCAGCCACCCATCTGCAAAGCTTCTCTGGAATGCCGTAGGCTAGGAGCTTGCATAAAAGGGCAGCGTGTCACCGCTGATCGAGCGCTTTCGTGATATCAAGAGCTGCGACATGAGCCTAACCATAAGACTGGATGAGTTTATTCCGCAATTGCGTGACATAAGCTGGGAGTTCCCCTGTGGATTGCTGGTGCCAAAAATCATACTGCCTGTCGCTAATCAAGCCGTGACGCTAGAGGTAGTCCAGAAGCTCGCGATTTATGCACTTTTCCGTCACCTTACTTATAACAGAAAGCAGAGCTATAGGTCTGTAGTTGTAAGGATCGGTCTTAGATCCATTTTTTGAGATGGGTTGGGCATGAGCAAATTTGCAGTTTTCTGGGAAGGTGCCGGATTCGTAAGATATCTTTAAGAAACGCGAAAGAACTGGAGCAAGCTCCGCTGCACGCGTCTTCAATACAACGACAGATATCAAGTACGGACCAGAAACTTTGTTGATGTCTGTTGATGTCTTATGCCTGAATGTTACATCCCGCATAGTGTAAGGAAACCCTTTGAATCGACGGGAATCGGATGCTGGGGGGACGCCCGTGGTGGTGTTGGCAGCACAGATCTTGGCACGGACTTCCGCCTTAGACGTTGAGTTGGTTACAATCATTCCATCCTGACACGTAAACGGTGGAAGGCTAAACTGTGAGAAGTTTCTTCCAATCTTCTTGGCCAGAGTCCAGAAAGAAGAAATTACCATGTGCCTAACTTCTATATCGCGCTGATTTTTGGCATTGCGGACCGCTTCGTCGTACTTGTTTCTTCTGCTGACGAGCAGTGTCGCACGATTTATTGAACCAGCTGTTGGACCCTGGTTTCGTCACTTTCACTGCATGAAGGATGTATTCCTCCATCCCAAGGAAAGGTAGAAGAGAAGTGGCTGAGCCCCTTCCAGTCGGCAAGTCCGTAATGCCAAACTTTGCTACCTGGTCTGGTTTCTGTTGCACAGCGGGTTCTGCCGAAACCTACCTTCCACAACATCGTAGTTTGAGTTACCCAGGGAGACAGGACAGCTGTAAGGTCAGAAAGAGGTCCAGCAGGCTACTGGCGTGTAACAAAACGCAGGCGAAAAGGTTAGGGCTTGTCACCAGCTGGATTAGTCCTTGGGTAATAGCGATGCTTGAACTGCACGACCTGCTAAGATGGTTAATGGGTGCAGAATCTGAGAGTTTTGTCTCGGGCAATCGATACTGAGGTATTTCTTAATGGGTCTATAATCACTTGAACGGGAAGAAGTTGTATAATATACAGCAGCTTCCGGAACAAATATTTACTCCGGCCCTGCTCGGTACGGCGACAGATGATATTTTTATATAAATATTTTGTATATTTTACTTAGCTATAGAGAAAACAAATGTTTGTATTGTCCATTTTAGATAAGAATAAAATCCGAAATGACCCTGATGTAAAGCTATAAGGCATTTGGCTCAGTGATTATCCTTAGATACTTTTAGAAGTAGATTCTCCAGGTCACGTATAAGATACTTCTTCTACTTTGTTTAGAAATAAAAACAAGAAATTCTTGTATTGTCCATTTTAGGCAAGAATCAAATCCTCAAAATATCCTTGATGTAGAGCTAGAAGGAATCTGGTACAGTGATTATCCTTGGATACTTTTTGAAGTAGATTCTCCAGCTCACGTATTAGCTACTTCTTTCGCTTTAGAGGAGTGGTCTAAAAAGTATTTTCAGAAACTAAAAGAGTAAGTACTAAGATTAAAGAGGACTAATTTGAGTTTCTGGCATGTCTATGCTTGGGCTCTGATCTAAACTTAGGATGAATCGTACTTCTCCAAAAACTGTTTCATTCGAGTATTTTTATTGATTTTGTAGGACACATCAAAGTCATTACGAGCAAATGGGGTTTTTCAGCGGTAAACTCAAAGTCAATGGAAAATATTATGAATTGGATAATTTGGATGCTTTCAGAGACCACAGCTTTGGTGAGTTGATATTTAAGTATTTGTTTTATTTGCTGTATATAAACTGCATATTAGCCAATTCATTGAAGCCGTAAAAGTTTTCTTCAGTGTACATTTTTTGAATTGACACTAGTCACAAGGTATGATCTGTTATGTGGTTGATGTTATATATATATCTTATAAAAATATTGGCTCAAGTAGCGTATTTAAGAAAGGGGGGCTCCTCCTCCGTACAGTAGAAAATACTCATCACGTTCTGGGTAATACAAAAATTGCCAATTTTTAGGCAAACTACTACGAGTACTTCGTCCTGACCGACTAGAGGTTTCGTAACAGAAGAGACCAGAAAAGTAGGCTTCTAGGTACAAAACATTAATTTCAGCTACGTACCTATATAAATATTTTCTTGTCTATATATTTTTTCTTGCTTTGCGATTAAATATCGATATGCGTGAAAAAATGTGTGTATGGGTTCTGAATGGGGGATCGTGTGATAACTCATTTTGAAGCTATGAGTATTTTATAGTTCCAAAATATTAAATCACTATGGAAAAGTTGAGCGTTTTTGTACATTGAGTCGCATATAACTCTGCAACCCGTTTAAAAAATGTTACAGGATGGCACCAGCCGCCATCTTGAAATGTTCAATTGTTATTTTTATGTTAAAATGTAGTATTCATGTGTGAATTTAACTACTCTGCATTTAGGCTTGCTATCTAGATTCGTTCAAAAAATAAGAGGACATTCCTAAAAAGCACTGTATATTTTGTGATGGGTCATAAAATATATGGAAAGAAATGTAGTTTACTTCAAATCAGGAAAATAAGTTTGTTACGATTTTCATAGTGAAATTCATGTTTGTTTTTTATCATTTTTTTTAATTAGCGTGCGCCTCAAGCATATTGAAAAATACAAGAAAGTGTTTTCTCACTGCAAAAGTGAAACATTTTAAATTTCATTATTCCAAAATGTCAAAATTGTACAGAGATAGTTACCAATTTTTTAGGGGCATAATGACACAAAAATTTTGAAAAAGAAACTAAACTCTTGTTCATCCCTCAAGCCTGATTGAATGTTGAATGTTTCTTACGTTATGATCATTCACGATTTATCTAGGACCCCTCCCACTCGGAAATCAATGCCCCCCTGAACTCAAATTCTACATACGCCGCTTATCAGTATACATACATTTTTTGCAAAATCACGATCCAGACCTGCTTCTTTGTATGCGTGTATGTAAGCGACTTTTTTCAAGTAACCTTGGTAAGAATCAATGTGGCTTAAATCTAACGATCTCAGCTATAACACATCTTCTTTGTCAATTTATACTAGGGCAAGAATTTTCCTTTGTAACGTACCATATGCCTATTTTTAAAGGTCACAAAAGAGACTGGACCATAATGCATCGTTACATTTACCACATGTTCTACCTGAAGGATGGAACAAAGATATCAGTAGGTGTGATATCGCAGCCTTGTACTTCTTCTAATCTGATGGTAGGATATGTAGCTCACCCCAATAAAAAGGTGGACATGATTGACGACTGCGATTTGAAACTCTATCAGCATGGCGAGAATGGAACTTTACCAAGTAAGTGTTTCTATTTCTCATAGTCCTAGATCTCGAAACACTTTCTCTATTCTAGTAACTTCATAGTTCAAAAGCTATATGGAAGTTTAGTAACAGAAACAGATATTGAAATAAAAATCTCTGGAATAATTTTGTCTGTTACCGGTTAACAAAGGATGGTGTGCTCTGCATCAAGTTGGCTGTGTTTCGAAGTAGATATCTTGAAAGTGAGCACAGCCAAAAGTATCTACATTCTTGAGAATATTGCAGGTTCCCTGAAGTTCTGGAATTCGTTGTTACGAGGGTTAAAGGTTTAAAATTGTGGAGTCAATTTTTAAACGGTTGTAACGATCAAATTTAGTCGATCAATTGTTTCCAACCATCAGAAATTTGTTGCTAGAACATGCATCTTATCAGGAACCTAGACATTCAAGGTTAAGTTCATTGTATATGTATGTTTTTCGACCTATCTCAGTTTCATAGTTCAGACCTTTTACGAATTTTTCTGCCCAATTAAATAAACAATTCGCGTAATCATGGAGAAAACATAACTCGTTTTCCAAAGTATACAACCATCTGTGATATCAAGACATATTTATTTACTTGCTACTTATATTGCTACGTTAGCTGAATGCTTCAAAATGAATTAGCTTAGCATTTAAAATGGCTTTTAGGTATTCCTGTGAACGTAACAATATCAGCATCTGTATCCTGATAAACTTTACTAATCATAGAGGCTTGCTCTGGGGCTTTACAGCAATTTTCTAAACACGTTATTTGTTAGGTAAATGAAAAAATACCCGACCTTCAAGTGAATCGCCTGTTAATGCCTTGTTACGTCACATATTAGAAAACAAATAACTCGACAGTTTTTCATTAAAATACCTATTTGTTCGACATATTTTATTTGAATTTCTCACCCCCCACAGGGGCAATGCCAGCTTATTTGGTATGCTCAACTGCCGAAGGCATCGATTTGTAAATATATCTCCTCTAGTTCCTTACTTATAACAACGAGAGTTAGAATCCATTTATTAAACGATTTTTCCAAGTTTGTCTGCTATAAAAGATGCAATTATTTTCCGTTCATTTTCTGTTGCATGTCTTAAATCTCAGGCTAAATTACATTTTTCCTGGCAAGCGCTGTTTAAGTATCGAATTAAATTATCTTTATCTCATACCTTAATAGGACAAGCCTTTTATCTTCAGCTGAGACGAATTATGGCCGCCAGGGCCTTATATTTCTCATGACTTAATTACGGCATTAAGTTCCAACTCTGCCGCATAGTCTCATACAGGTGGGTGGGGATTGAGTAGGTAATTAACCCTCATCTAGAAATGATGATAAAATAAATCGACAAATACTAATCTCCCGAAAAAATGGTGGATAAAGTGTTTCCTTTTTTTCGTATAATACAGAATCTTCAGTAGATATCGAAGAAAATTTATATCCAGTTGAAACGGAAAAAAAGTCCCTAATATGTCCTTATAGTTGCGGACGTCGCTATAAGATTGCCCTACCTCCTGTATTATGTATATCTGTGTTAGAATAAAGCTTTTCAGCACTTCATTGTCGTATAAAACATGACATCGTTCTACTATGTCGCAAGATTGATTAGGGGCTCTGGCTTTTTTACATGTTTATCAGGATATGAGTGTTGAGCCAAAGGATATTGTTTAATGGTTTGTTGAAAAGGTAGATGCTGTAATTTGATTTTCATTATGGCTTATATTTTTCAAGTCCGTAATCCCCGTATAGAGTACCTGCACCTAGTGCATGCAAGGATTGTTTCAGGATAACATATTTACTACTTTTTGTTCAACAAAATTTTCAACACTTGTCAGAGCAAGTGTAGTCATTGCACATTGTTCAATAGCCTACAACGACGAAAGGGATTCCAAGAAAATAAAAGTAATAAAAATGAATCAAAAGTACATATTTTAAATATTTCCAGTATGCACAATGCACGGGCCTCTTACTGCTCAACATACTTTTTTAAATTTCAATTCGAATCGAAATAAGACTGCGGAAAACGCCATCTACGTCTAGAATCGACTACTGCAAAACAGTGAATTGCAGGCTAGCTGTTAGTATTGTTCAGATCTCAAGCCGCGAAGAAGGCCCCCTGATAGCATTAATTATTTATTAACTATTTTTAAAAATGTTTGTTAAATATTTGTAGCGCCAGATTTTTTAATACTTGTTAAATATATTTCTTATATATTTATAAAATATTTATTATAGACATTTGTAGTATATATATTTTTGCGATATTTTTTCCAAATATTTTGAAAACATATCAGGAAAGATTTTTAAATATCAATTTTATATTTTGATGAAATATCTAATATTTTTCGTAAATATGTATGGATTTTCAAGCATTAATCTGATACATATTTTCAGTGTATATAGAAAATTCTTCATTGGTTATTATAGCAAAACCTGTAGGAATGCTTATACCTGTATAAAGTTGGGTTTATAAAGAAAATTCATTCTAGATGTAATGGTTTAATTTGCTATAAAATATTATTAAAAAAATATTCTAAGCCTCTTCTGCATCTTGCAAGTCCACTCTTCTGAACAAAGCTTACTAATTATGAAGTATTATTGAATACATAAGTTGCTTTCTGCTGGGAATATAAAGTACAGTGGAACAATATTGGTGCTGAGCATGGTGAGTTACTCCGAGTAGCTCAAGGCTACTTATTTATGGTCTTGTGTATACCTTTATACTCAGCTGGCACAATAATGTTTACTAGTCAGATAAATTAAGCTATGTAGTTATCGAAAAACTTACCCTTCTCCACAAAAAAACACTCAAATAATGAACCATTTGGAGGTACACACGAAGCACTCTATAATAGTAATAGTCACAGGTAAAATGGATGCCGGCAAACGGGTCGCCTCAGGCCGACTTGCTATTATCCCATCGGTCGCTCGAGGTCACACGCACATGCGCCGTGGCCGAAAATATTTAATGAATATTGAGTATTGGAGATTTAATATTTTCCATTGATTGAAAATTAGATATTTAATGAATATTATAAAAGAAATATTGTATTTAAAATATTTAATAGATATTTAATAATAATATTATATTGCAAATATTTATTAAATCTTTGTTTAAGCAAACAAATATTTAAGTAAGATAAAGATATTATTAAATATTGAATAAATATTTAATGAATATTTCGTGATATCGGGACGCATTTGGAAACATACTTTGAACTTTATCGGCTTCTAATCTATTCCTTGTCTTTCGTCTGCGACTTTTGAAAATAGGACTGCTCTCAAGAGCTTCTAATCAGTTCAATCAATTCATTAAAAAACATCTGAACGTGCAAAAACGAAAATCCAAGGTGTATCCTACATTATTGGAGATTGTTACGTGCAGTATTTAAATTTGAAACATATCCAGCTCAACAAACAAAAAATCAACAGTACGAGGTATTCTGAAGCGACTATCCATCCAAATACTAATACAATACTCATTAAAATTATTTTTTATACACTTTTACGAATACATTCTTAGTTTGACGATAGTGTTCAAAAATGTTCCTTGAGTATTTTTATGAGAATACATTAGTGCATTAAGTGTTCCTTTTTAATGAAATACCTTTTAATGTGATGTGAGCAGATATTTTTCTTATCACAACATTAATTTTAAATAGAGCGATTGATTTATTATATTGACTTTGTGTGGAGCTTTGCTCCTTGTAAGTCCATTCAGAAGAGTTTAAGAAAACCTGAATTCATTAAATATTGATCATCTCTGAAATAAAAAATTGGTTTGCAGGTTACATAATAAAACAAAGTGTTACCTAATAATGTAGTTGTATAATTTATCATGTAAACATAGGGAAAATAACTGATTATTTGTTATTTTGGCCTTTCATGGTCCACTCACCTTACATAAAATTATGGATAAAATAAACCAAGATCGTGTGTAAACTATAACTTGTATGTGACCGATTACTTATGCTCAATCGTCTATTCGACCATGATCTGCATTATCTGTTTTAATCAACAGTATAAGTGGCAATTCCTTATTACTGTCATAAAAATACGTTCCCTAAATGTACACGCTTCAGTTGTATCTTCTGATAAATACAAGCTCGCTATTTTATCTGGGTAACGGTCACACTATCCACCCTACACTATACTCGACGCATGATATCATTCCGACATAAGTCGGATAACGGTGACACCCCCCTAACATGCCATCTCAACTTTCTTTTTTATCTGCGAACGAATGAGGATTTCGCACCTACAAATATATTACTGGACTTTACTTTCCTCGGCGTTTCTCCAAGGTTCCGCATAATAGACTGCAAGGGTATCTTTAAGACATTTTTCGATGATTAGAAAAAATATATGACTTCAATTAAAATTATAACAGAACCCTAAAAATTATGGGACTCTTTATAAAATACAACTTTTTTTAAAATACTCATCTGTTGAGGCGGTGTTCGCAGGGGTATGATGCAGTATTTGAGCTTAAAAGACATTCGAATTCCGAACTGACAATTCTCTTTTATACAAAACTAATTTGGCACCCGCGAAAAGTGTGAATTAAAACAGAAGTTTGTAAAACATAGTTTTGTTTAGTATTTAAAGCGAATTATCAGTTCGAAATCCATTATTTTAACCTCAAAATCACAGTCTTTGCAGAAGTAACATTTTTCTCAGCCCCTACTCTGAATATGAAAAATGGAAAAAAGAATCACACTTCTGGTATATAATATGGAAAAGCAGCTGATGACACATATTGACATAGATACATCTAAAAAAGACATGTTTAGTTCAAGCTTGCCAGCGATCTTACATGGTTGATAGATTTATACATATATAAAACATATGACACACAACTTTAAGGCAAATGTCATACGATCAGTATTTACTGTGGTCCGTACCATCAGTATTTATTGATAATTCCGTCAGTAACAGTGCATTCTTTAGAAAACCTTATATATAATATTTGAAAACGTGCAAAATACGCCATTCAAAATCCCAAAGCACTTTAGATAGCATTGTTACAATAAACCTTTGTTTTTTAATTGCTTGTAATTGACTTATCATGTCATTGATGTTTATTAAATGGTGAACGAGCTTAAGTTTACATCTTGAAGTATGTTAGTTCATTCCTCATTCAATAAACATAACTGATAAGATAAATCAATTATAAGCAATTGAAAAACTAAATTTATAATAGTAATATCACCTAAAATGCTTTATGATCTAGTTAATGGAAGTATATTTGAAAAATCAAAAAACGAACACCTTGATGTTAACAAAGTTCCTAAATATCCTTTAAACATTCAGCAAAAAAACCCCCTATAGTTTTTTGCGATCGGAAAGGGCATATTTTGCTCTATTTAGAATATTAAATCGTGTACATTACAAAAACTAGAGCTGCTACGAGGAAAAGAAAGACGTTTTTGGAACCAGCGCATCAAAAAAAAAGGTATTTCAGGAGGATGGAAAAACTTCAATGAGCTGTTAAAAATCAATGGATCGATCGTGTTAATTAATTTATGTTGTGGGAATAGAAATAAATATCACAAATTAATTATTAATTTATTTTATTTATTATTTCTTCAAAAACTCATATCTCAAGACTGAAGAACTAAAATGGCGCTAGGTCAAGTATTGCTTTCAAAAAGTTGGCTTATTTGTCTTTTTATTCGATGACCATGTCACAAATTGTTACTTATGCTATGCAACATTACGAATATATTACAGAAAGATCGTTTTTTACATTTTATTAATTAGCATCATATTCATTAAAAAATAGCCACATATTTTAGATAAGAATTAAGAACCTGAATTGATAAGTTTGCGTTATTCATGCTGAACTTCAAAATCTGATTGATCATCTTAAGAGTCAGCTTCTAAATCAGTTTTAACAAAAATACTAGAAGGCTTATCATTAAGCATCAGAATTTATCTAATTTTGTGCCAAGCTTTCACTCCTCATCTTACAGTGCTTTACAGAAAGATGCCCCTACTTATTTTTTGAACGGTTCAAGCTAGCAAGCTGACATTTGAGATATCAATACTGTATTTTAACGTGAAAATAACAGTTGACAATTTGAAGATGGCTGCTGGGCACTGCTGACTGCAGCTTAAAGGAAGCTGTCGCTGTCACACACCGCTATCTTGGACATAACCTCATTCTCTTTGCGTTTGCGCCTATGCTATGCTACACTTTGCATTAACCACTAACAGAGGTTGGTCACTATGTAAAACGTTTGCTAACCCTATACAAAATGAACATGAATAACAACAAATATTATGTTTGATACTTAGCTTAAAACATTTTGGCTCCTGAATGCCAGATATCCATGTTGTTCGCTTTTTTTTATAAGTACACTGAACGTATTCGCATTAGATGACAGCAAAACCTGATAATTTGTCAAATGGGTTCAATTGCAAGCTATGTGTAAACTTGAAGATAAGTAACAAATTAATAACAGTAAAACAACATTCTGCAGGACTACGATACAAAAACAGTGCAGTGTACCTGGGCTTTCTCTGTACAATATAATTATTATATTGCATCGTAATAGCGTTACTTCATGTCCTTCTACTGACGCTGTTAGGAAAACTTGAAATTTATGCCACACATGTAACCTAATATGTCCTTCATGCTTATTTCTGTTTCATGGATTTATAAAAACAATTGTATTTTTTGATCTGTAATCACATAACATGATGCTATTGTAGTAGTTGTTACGCTGCGCACAGACCGAGATTCCAACGCAAGCCAAGGTACATGTGGTTACTGATTTGGAGATGTTCGAATCGGTGTGTACGGCGCGAGCCAACATAAGCCAACGGTTTCCAACGTCGGCGTTGGCGTTCGATTGCGTTCGGTTCTTGATCTTTACATCAAAGCCAGGTTTGATTTGGTCTGGACAGGGTTTGTTGCGCATTCCAATACCAACAACAAATGCCAACGTCACAAGTGCTTGCATTCGTTTGCTCGGCTTTGGATTTACGGTCTGTACGCGGCTTAAGGCAAACGCAATTCAGTTACTGTAATTTTTTTCCAAGTCTTAAGTAATTGAAAAAAATTGCTTTGCTTTATTGTGATGTTATTCATTCCTACCTGTATACTTTATTTTCAGCTGAACTCTGCTTCACGGTGACAGCCAACCACAAGACGTATGAGCTCCAAGTGAAGTACTTATTGGAATCCATTCATTACAAAGGACGTGCTAGAGAAGCCAAAATGCACGAAAGGTTTCATAAATGTATTGTTAATGGAGTCTCTGGTAGGGGCATTTCTGAATGGCATTACAATAATAAGCAATAAACTATAAAATAACGGGGTCTGTTTACTTATTGCTTTTATTTATCCTAGAAAGATTAAAATTTGATGCAGCTGGGACCTCCTCGAAACGTTATCTAGGCTAATTGGATGACAATGTCGATGATTAAGATGTTGTTTCTCGGACCTCCACTGATGAGGTTTTTTGATTCACAACGTTTCGATTGATTTGATATTCGATCGTCATTAGGTGAAATGGTGAGCAAGCTCTTTTATTAACTATTTCTACCCTTTGATGACGTGACCGGTGGTTGGTTATGACGTGTCCTTTATTCCAGTTAATTGAGTTTCAGTTGTTTGAAGTTTGTTACAGTCGGTTGTTATACTAGTTTAATTTTCACACTTGTATTACTGTAAACATTTTCATTCGTCCTTCCAAAGTATTCTGTGGAACTTTGTCCAAGCGTGATCTCCTTTCCCAGATTTATTTGTTCCTTCTCGTTCCGTGTTGGATTTATGCTCTTTTATTTTTATTAAGGGCCGTATTGTCAGTCGTTCTTACAATTGTAGAAAGCCTTTATGGCCTCCTTGATTTCCATAATATCACGTCTCCTTCAATGAGGTTCTTGTGTGTACTGCGTTATTGTGTGATTTTGACGTTTAAGAAATTTTAGACACATGAATCAAAGGCAGAAGCATAATTTATTATCATTTACATTGATCAAATTTCACAAGCAGTGGCATCTTCAAGAAATTGTTGGATTAGGAAAATCCATATCTGTTATAAATGGTCTGAAAATGAACAACTTGATGCACATGGATATATACAGGGTGACTTCGAAGTTGAGTCATTTATTTTAACAGTGAGTAGATCTGATCAAAAGAAATGTTTTTTTCCTTTACCATTTTTCTGGTAAAATTAAAGTAACAAAGTTATAGCCCTTTGGAAGTTTGAGTACCGCCCTGTCTCAATAATGATATTATGTTCTCGTGTTTGGCAACAACAGATATAATCCGCCTTATCCGTTCATCGCATCGGAAACAAAAAAGCGAAAGAATTTGGAACGATCTTTTTACAATTATTTTCTTCAGTTGTATACAGTCAGTATCAGTCGGTAGTCGGTAACGCGTAAGTGAATAATCGTGTCTGTTGCGAGGCTCAAATCAAAAATGGCACATGTTTACGAAAATGCTGAACTTGTGGACATGGTCTTTACAAAATGCTGCCGCGGCATCACGGATCTATGCGGATCGGTTTCCCAATCGAGTGCAACCAACCCCTCGTGCCTTTGTTAATGTAGTGCAAAGAGCTCGTGAATCAGGTGACTTAAGACCTCACAGAGGAGATCATGCCGGTGCTCCAAGACCACACGATCAAATAGAACTAGAAGAACAAATTTTAGAATTAGTAAGTGATGATCCAACAGTAAGCACCCGACAAATTTCAACTCAATTGGCGATTAGTCAGTATAAAACTTGGAAAACTCTACGTGAAAATCAGTTCTATCCGTTTCACGTACAAAAAGTGCAGGCCTTACAACCGGAAGATCATGAACAAAGGGTTGACTTTTGCAATTGGCTTTTAAATAAACATCAAAATGATGACAATTTTTTAAATCAAATTTTAGTGAGTGATGAAGCCCTCTTTACTAGAAACGGAATTATTAATTCACGTAATTCTCACGTTTGGGCTATTGAAAATCCCCATGAAATAAGGGAAACCAATTTTCAACAGCGATTTGAACCAATCAACCTGTGGGCGGGAATTGTTAATGGAATTTTAGTGGGGCCTTTTGAATTACCAAATCGCTTAACTGGTGAAAATTATTTTGATTTCTTGCAACACAATTTGCCTGGTTTACTGGAAGATGTGCCTTTAAATATTAGACAAAACATGTGGTTTTTACAAGATGGGGCACCACCCCATTATGCAAGAAATGTGCGTGAATTTTTAAATAGACAATTTAATAATCGTTGGATCGGCCGTGGCGGTTTTGTACCTTGGCCGCCAAGGTCTCCGGACTTAAATCCTTTAGACTTTTGTTTGTGGGGTTGGCTAAAAACTCTAGTGTATAAAACACCGGTTAATACACGCGAAGAATTACGTGCTCGAATTGAGGAAATGAGTACAGTGATCAGAAATCAACCAGTGATTTTATTGCGTGCTTGTAAAGAGACATGGCTAAGACGCGCCCAGCTGTGCGTCGAGCAAAACGGAAATCATTTCGAACAGTTTTTGTGACATGCTTTTGGGCGCACAGGTCCGCACTGAAATACTTGTCGGGAGGATACTTTATAAAACAAGGTAACATTTTTTTTTAATTTTTTTTTATTTTTACACACATATTTTGGTTTATCTTCCTTCTACAATCATTATCTGAAAATTAATGACTCAACTTCAAAGTCACCCTGTATATATATGTGTATGTATAAAAGCCCAAAAGTCGGCTGAAGAGGTCATCACCACATTGCCTAGCGACGGTGATGCAGAAAGACGTGCAATCTGCCGCGTTGCCAATATGTTACACGATAAAATGGTCGCATAGGTTTTTTTGCAACTTAGTGTTTCAATTTCTTTTTGAATTGTCTTAGATTTCAACCGATGGCGATAAAATCAACACATCCCGAGTTATTGTTACATTTTGCAACAGCGCTGCGGTCGGAAAATGTAACAAATAACGTTACGCAATACAAGTTATCACTCCCTGCTTATACGCACGTGAAAGCCATTGACAGACTGAAATCGCTCAACTATTATCATGGTGGAAACCTTGCCTTGGAATGTACAAGATGCGGTGTTATAAAACGAACCAATGATGCAATGTTGCAGAATTTGTGACGATCATTACCTCTCATTTCGGCCTAAAATGGAGCGCCGATAGATAGATTCATCACAATTAAAAAATATGTATGCTCAAAATAAAACCATTATTTGGGCGTTAAGAATAAACTAACGCATTTTTTTAATATGCATCTCAATTCAAGGAACTGGAGTAACGTATTTTCAACGCAGTGATGATCTTTCCTTCCCCCAGGCGGCTTCTATCTCTATCTAACCTATGTTTCTATACACACTTCTCTCTCGTACACATTGAACTCAAACCGTCGGACACATTTGGTTCTCAGTGTCTACAATCCTTGGTGTTGTTTTTGCGAGGATACTGCGACGTGTTGTGCTCCATGAACATCTAGTAGTTTCAATTTCTAGAAACTACTGTATGCGGAAAGCCAACACATAGAGGACAGGGTATAAAGGCGTATTTATAACTCTTATCGACCGGGCAAAGAGCATCTGCAACACAGGTTGTCGATATTGTGGAACAATCTACAAGAGGCTTTTCCCAGTTCCTCTAACCATAGGCAGTTCAAAAATCGGATTAACAAAGTTTATTTGGGATCCTCATCTGCGGTGTCCTGGCATTTAGGCTTCTGCCTGCGCAGCTGCTTAGGTGTAAAAAAGGAAGTGGCTACCCAAGACGACTGAGAAATGAACTTCTGGAAGAAAGTAACACCGACAACAGTAGAAACACAGTCCAGTCGCTGAACAGGTTGTCAAAAAGCGATATTAAAAAAAACTAGTAACAATTAGAACATTGCAGAAACAGTTAAGTATTTTTCAATGATTTTTATGGATGTTTTCGGTAAAAAATAAATGTAGAGAACGACGAATTTTTAGGTTTTTGTAATAACAATTTGACTGTTACGGTAAATTGGCCGCATGAGGTCTCATTTTGAGGGTATTTATCCACTACTAATTTTCTTGTACAAAACTAATTATTTGAACATGAGCGAAAACGTGATTTTTACATCCTTTATACGATTTTTCCGAATCAGCGGATGCGCTCATCTGAACAATCGTATACAGGTTACTATACTCACACGGTGACACCATGATATGTGCCCACAAGGCGGCGTGGTGGTGATTGGAGGTACCTTACCAACCGGTTCATTTCACTTGAATGCCGCCAAGCAGCTTGGAAGAACAACTTAATAGTGGCATGGATATGATGGAATTTGCCTCTGACTGTTGATCTTGAAAGGTGGTTGGCAGCTAGTGCTGTAGACTGATGGGTTAGGTCGGCTCCTTTCTCAGAAGCTTAACAAAAAAGTTAGCCATCAAAACTTTTTGTATCTCTCGACAGCCTGTTCATATACCCTCAAGAATATAATTTTTCCGTGAATCCGCTTATCAAATTTTTTTCTGAAGCATGACCGATTTGTATCTCATCGGTTGATCCCGGTTTCAGAAATGTGGATCGAAGCCACTAGAATCGGAATAATCGGAATCGAAACCGCCGCAAATGATTTCTTTGAGAACATTGGAATGGATTCCTTCAATTCGCTTTGCGGTATAGTTCTTTTGGACACAATCAGAGTCGACCCAACTCTACTGTTACTACGGTAATATCGTGGACCCTTGAGTTAACGCCAGACACCCAGAGGAATCTTTGTTAATTTCCATGCGAGATGATAAAGGAAAATGCTCTATAAAATTATTTTGTTTTTTAATCACAATAAATCTTGCTTTGAAAGTACGTTTCGCAGGGCAAGGCTCTGGAATGTAGCATCATCTGATTTATATCTACCCTCTTCAACTTGTTGGGATGTTTTACGCTACAGTTACTGTAAAACTGTTAAAGGGTATGGCACCACGATGTGCGGCTAGAATCTCCTGGCAGCCTTGGAATGTTGACTATATATCTCTATTAGTGTCTTCAAATTGCTGAAGTGTTGTATTTTATTAGTTTCCTGCCTATTCTCAAAGTGTAAAAGAATTTCAACCCTGTGTCTTACAGCGTAATTGAAAAAATAGCTACACAATTTTTTAATAGAAAGTAGTAACACGAAAAATATGGTTTATGTAACTTGTCGAATATTGTCAAAGTAGAAGATATTTAAGCATGTTATGAGACAATTTACGGATTTTACCCCAATTATTTCATCAAAAGGGACTAATCTGACACAAACTCCGGAAGGAATATAATTTTACTTTAATGAAATTCCAAAGAAAATGCGATAATACTTCAATAAAAGTAGTAGTAAAACATATTTTAGGCAGCACAAATAATA